GAATTCAACAACCACCATGCAAAACAATGTTTGATACCACACTTCTTAAAAATAATAATAAAAAAAATTTTACAAACTTTATATTTCCTAGGATATAAGGATGGAAGTAAGCCAAGTTCAAGATGAAATTTTGAGCCATATATAGTATAATTTTCGTGGTTTGATTCTTCCTCAACTATGCAACTTACAGGAGGCTAAACAAGCATAGTGGGGAACACAACTCTATATTTTAAGTGGATTATAGGGTTTCTTATAATCTCCTATGACCAACGGGCCGGTATCTGCTCGATGGGTCACACCAATAATTGAAGTTTAATTTTGAGTCCTATAAATAGTGGTGCATATATAATTTGCCATATAAATTTGTTACCCGTGTAAGAAATTAATATAATTAATCCCTGACCAAAGTAGAACCATTAAGTAACAATAATATAATGATCACGGGTCACACCAATAAGTGAAGTTTTTGAACCATTAGAAACAACAACGAAGAACAAAATGAGAAAAAAGGATGAATTTAAAACTCTCATATTTTTAACAAAGAACGAAGACCAAATCAAATCCAATCGGATAAGATAAGATAAAAATAAATTGTTGGGCAAAAAGAAATGAATATTCTTAATTTTGTTACACTAGACAACGCAAGTGATATCTTTGGTGCCAAAAATATCTGGTACATGTAAAAATAGATGGGGAAAAAAAAGGGAAAGAGGAAGAATGTCAACCCCACACTTCAAAGCTCAAATTCTTAATTTGTCTATTGCAACAACTCATTTCCAACAAATTTCAAAAATGCAACCAAACTATATTGGGAAAAAGACAGGCAATATATAAATATCCACATTTGAGGCCATTTTGTCACAACAAGCCATTGATCCCTGGGCAACTTCATCGTACCCACGTTGTTGGTTACCAATAAAATGGTTGTCTCCAAGGGAAGCATGTTCATTCTTATCGGTATTCTCCTCGTTAGCGTCAACCTAATTGAAATTACAAACGCAGTGAGATTGATCAACCAGGGTCATAATAATGTGAGTGTTGTACGTAGCCCAAGAGCTGTCGGGATTTTCAGAGCACGAGGCGGGAACCGACATAAACGAGGTAACCATTTGATCCATCATTGCAGACCTGGAATGCACATACGAGATTGCATGAATTTTCTAAAAAGTGGGGTCACTCTTCGCATCCACAGAATTAGTCAACGAAAAACTACGTACAGGATCGTGTGCAACCCTTCTATTAATACACAATGCAGAAAGGAGATAAAAGTTATTAGACATGGAAATAGATTTGGTAATAATGTTTGTAGAAGAGGAAGAAATGGCAGGATCTGTCTCCAACAGTAATAATCCTATACTAGGAAATGGTCCGACCGTCGTGAATATTTGACAGAGGCAGTGAATCATTCCCTTTTACAACTTTTACTGTGGCAATTATAATAACACCGAGGACAATTTTGGTGAAACCAAAGGTAAAATCAGCTCGTGAGTTTGCGATAAAAAGTTGATGGATCAATCTCAGCAACGGGTTTAATTTTTTATTATCTACATCCGTGGCTACTGTTGTGGTGGTTTTAATTAATATGGTAACATAGATAATTGAGAAATGTTGTTGTTGATGGCTCAAAAAAGGATATTAAAGAAGACACAAAAAATATTCTTCACCATCGCCATCGCCCATATGTTGTTTAAATTTCATGTGACCAAATTTATTATGTATTTTAAACAATATTATTTCAATAAAGCCTATATGTTGTGTTCCTATTCAGACAAATTATAACAAAATCAAAAAATTTTCATTTTATGACGTTCACAAGACATTTAAAAACAAAATGGAATAGCAATTTAGTTTATGAATTTTAGCTTTTAACCATTTAGTCTTTTTGCTTTCTGTACTCAAAATTTTATTACAATCTTTGTAATTTATATTTTGTAACTATTTAGTGTATTAAGTAAAAAATATTGTTAAGATTAATACGGTTTATTACATATGTAAATTTATACACCGATTAGGTCAAATGTGTGTTATAAACTACAAAGATTATCGTTTTCTTAATATTGGAGAGACTTAAAAGTTTTTCTGGCTACTTGGGATCGTTCTAGAGTAGTACTTAAAAATCTTTTTTTTTTAATTTTATTATTAGTGGTCTTTGAGAACTAAAATTAAAATGTTAATTATTTTTGGGAAAAATATCCATTCTTACCTAAATTCTTAGGAAGGTGTATCAATCTTCACCTTAAAACTTCATTAGAATCTTTTACTTTAGACTTATATAAGCGTTTAATTTTTACTTTCTAAAAGATTGTCATTTGAAATTTTGTTGAAAAATATGTTTTTATGTATGTTTAATTTATTATTGAAAATATTGGTTCAAAAAAATTATTAAAAATATATTTGCTTTATTTAGAGAAAAAGCAACATTTTTCCTGTTAAAATTTGTGAGTTTTGTAGATTTGTTCCATGGTTTGTTTTGGGCACTAATAAAACTTAAATTTCATTAAATTGGTGACCTTTTTTTTTTTTTTTTTAAGAATTTNTTAAGAATTTTACATATTTTCTTAATTAAAATTGAGGGGTGAATTAGTGTTAATTGGATGGAAGGTAAAAATATAGCACTAAAATTGTACTTTTAACCAAATTTTTTGAAAGTATAGTTTGTAAACGAAAAACAATGAAGATGATTGTTTAGTACTATTTTCTTATTAGGATAAAAATTGAAGATTGTATTTACTATACACAAAATCAATACAATTTATATTAACATTAAATATGTTATAAAAGTATTACACTTTGGACAACATTTGTCACATAAAACATGGGACTGAGGATTCATCTACATCTTTTTCCCTTTCTTGGTCAACATATTGTCGTTGCCTTCTATTTATTAATATTCATGGGTTTCATCTCAAAATTTAATGAGAGGAGTAGTCTTTTATCTATTATAAACCTACGTAAGGTCCATTCTTTTATCAATGTGGGATCCTTAACATGTCCTCTCAAAATTGTGGTTCTTTTGGCTCGTCGATCTTGACTAGATGCTCGTTTGAACTTTGATACCATGTTAATATTCATGGGTTCCATCTCAAAACCAATCGACCATGAGTAATCCATATTTATTATAAACTTATGTAATTCTGTGAAAACACGGCGCAAGTGTAGACCAAAAACCTGTTATAGTAATGAAAACAAGGTATCTACCTAGACTCATATTTGAAGCCAACAAATTAATTTAAAAATACTAAACCCACGCTAAGATAAAATTTTCAAATTAAAGAGCAAATACAGAATTTAAAATACGATACACATAAACAAGTCGAAATAATTTAATATAAACAAGCGTAGCCATAAGGTGAAAAAGAAAAATTATAATAATTAGGCAACTCTTTAGAATATTAAGCTGCATAGCAACAAATTATATATCACGTATACGTAAACAACACAAAATTTGGATAAATATGAAATTTTAAACTTAAACTATAAATTAGAACTCAAGCTTTCGAGATTGTGTCTATCTAATAAACCTTAAATGGTCTCTAAATTTTAAAAGTGTCTAATAAGTCGTCGTATTTTCAATTTTATGTCTAAAAGGTCCCAAGTTATTAGACATTTTTATTTTTAAGTTTTCAAACCTATCAAAAACATAAATGAAAGGTAATATCTAATCCTACAAAATTCAATTACACGTCCAACAAAAAAAAATTGAATGAATGAAGCGAAAAAAATTCTTAAATTTCGAATTTGGGAGATTTTTGGACGGGATTTGGAGATATTTTGGGGGGTTATGATTTCAATTTTGGGAAATTTAGGGTTTTGTTTTTAATGTTTTGATGTTTTAATTTGTTTTGGAAAGTATCATTAACCTAAAATTATGAGATCTAAATTATAACCTTCCAATTAATCAATTTTGCATATTAAAATGAATTTAAAATGAATTTGTAAATACAAGAGGCTAATTTATATGATGGTACCCTCTTAAATAGGTTGATACATGACAAATGTTCTATATATTTATAATTAGAATATTTAAATAGCCCATCAATGTAATCATATTAGAGTTAGGACAAATTTTAATATAAAAAAAAAAAGATTGAGACCATCCCAATCTCTCCCTCCATCTTCCCAAATAGAGACACCTCACAACCGTGCATTTCATAGTTTAAAACTGCGTCGTTTTCACTAAACTCAAACAAAATCATCCTCCATTCTTAAGCTTTAGCGCGTGTGTATCACGCGCCAATAACACCCCACCAAAAAAGTGTCACGCGTATCACGCTCTCCTAGAGGCGCGTGGGTATTCCCAAAATAAGATCATTCGCCATTATAATTCGAAATTCATCAATCATCTTCTTTCCCTTTTTTCGTTCTCTCTCTCTCTCGAGCTTGAGAAAAAGATGGACAAATTGCCTTTCTGATCTTCAGCGAAGCGAAGGAGCGGAAGAAAGGCGAAGCTTTCCCACATTGCTTTCTCCAGCCGATCGAAACCCTAAAGGAAAGTAAAAGGAGATAAAGAAGTTTCTGTCGCTCGACCATTTTGCTTCGCGATGGGGTTGTGGGAAGCTTTTCTCAATTGGCTTCGAAGGTATGGCCTCTTTCTTCTTTCTCTCGCTCCGATTGACGATTGAATTTCTAGGGAAACGGAACGAACTTTGCTGAATCGTCGATTCGTTGTTTCTGTCAATATGTTATGCTCTCTGGAGACCGATACGATTGATTGTATTAGTGAATTTCCCCCGTTTTTCCTGATGGTGATTTTGTACGATTGATATTAGTATGGGTTAACGGGAGGACTCGAGTGTACGTTTTACTTTTAGGCGACGAACTTTATTTGCGAGTTTTCCTTGAGAACTAGTTGAGCGAAGGGAAAACTTTCTCCCCCTTGTTTCTAATGAAACGTCTCTGTTATAGGGAAGTTAAGAATCTTAATGGTGGAGGGAGCAACTTATTCTGGTTTAATAGGATAATAGATGCTAATTATCGCCTATTATATTCCGAAACTGATGGTTACATTAATTATACACGCGATGCCATTTACTTCATCGATTCATTAATCGTTTCATCTTTTAGAGACTTTAAATTTTAATATTCAAAATTTAACTTGTACTGTAGTGTTTATTGTCTCGCTGAGATATGTTTTGATTACCATGCTTCCCCAAGAACTTGGTCATGAGGGAGGTGACGATTAGGTATCCGATTTCGAATCAGAAATTTAGGTTGGGTTGGCGGTGTTCCAATTTAACAAGTTTTTGTATTCAGGATTTAAGTGTTCAATGTAGTGGTAGTGACATTCCATTTGTATTATATTTTGATTGGTAGTTAGTAAAGGGCTTAGGGGCCAAGCAACCTTTTTGGTTCTGATTACGAGCTCAAATATTGTAGTTGTATTGGCGGCTGTAGGAAGAAAAATGAAATAACTGGTCAAATGAAGTTTGTGATGGTCATATTCTCATTTTTGTGGATAAGAAGGCAACTTCAGTTAACGAAAAAAAATTGAATTGTTGTCCTTTCTTTGTTGGCAAGAAGGATATAATAATAATAATGAATGATGATGATGAGGAACAAATTCATTGATAAAGATTAATTCTCTTATGACAATAAACTCTATTACATCGTTAAATAGATCCATTTGCAAATAATTTGATGCTTAGAATCTAAGCGGGTTTTACATCTTTCCTTTCATATTTTTGAAATAATTAACAGATGTTATAATGTTACTATGCCCTAACAAGTTTCATCTATAAATGTTGCAAAATGTTTTTGACTTCTCTTGAAAGTCAAATATTTCTTAATAACCGGATTGATGTTTCCTTAACCCTTCATGTTATACACACCTCTGTACGTTAAATCATTTAATCGCATTTCCTATTGCAGTCTCTTTTTCAAGCAAGAAATGGAATTATCTCTGATTGGGCTTCAGAATGCTGGAAAAACATCACTTGTAAATGTTATTGCAGTAAGTAATTTCTAATCATATGATAAACATTTTTTATTGGTTATGTTCCTCATATTGGCTACTAAATACTAACGGTTCATCTTTTCTTCCTGACTGTAATTTGTAGACGGGTGGATACAGTGAAGACATGATCCCAACGGTGTGTAATCTTTCTTATAGGATTTATACTACTTGATATTTAACTCTATGAGTTCTTCTGGATGGGAATCATTGTTTCTTTACCTTATTTTATACCATAGCTTATTTTTGCCGTTCTCCTCAAAGTATCCTTTCATCTGCAGGTAGGATTTAACATGAAGAAGGTGACAAAAGGAAATGTAACAATAAAGCTTTGGGATCTTGGAGGCCAACCTAGGTTCCGTAGTATGTGGGAAAGATATTGTCGTGCGGTTTCTGCGATTGTGTATGTTACATGTACTTGTGTACTATATACACATCTATTGCTAATGTATTTTGTTGTTTCTATCTTACTTTACTGTACTTTAAGTCTTGCAGTTGCAGCCTTTGTTGTGTGATGCTTGTTTCTTTTGTTTACAGGGAAATTTTCTTTGGTTTGCTAGATTTCTGCTTAAACTTTCTTTGTTAACGTAAACATCTTGTTTAACTCTAGCTTGTTGAGGTTTTCTGCATTAATTACGAGGTCCATGTTATTCACTAAACTTTCTTCTGCCCTTCATGTATGGAGTTTCGTTTCCTCTACTCATATAAAATTTGCATAGTGCTTGAAACTTTCGATGGCCAATGCTAAAAGTGTTGTTGAAGATGCCCTTTAAGAAAAGGAAAAAGAAAAAGAAAATATTTTGTTTAAAAATGGTCACTTTCTTCTTACTTCTCATCTTGCAGATATGTTGTGGATGCTGCTGATTACGAGAACTTGTCTGTCTCAAAAAGTGAACTTCACGATTTGTTGAGTAAGTCAACACTGAATGGAATCCCATTGCTGGTATTGGGTAACAAGATTGACAAACAGGGAGCTTTGTCTAAGCAAGATCTCACCGAACGAATGTAAGTCGAATCTTAAGAAACCTTAAACTAATAATAATGAGTTCATTAGTTTCAACGTTGTTTTGTAACTATCAGTTAAGAGTGATCCTCTTGGATTAGAGGTGGAGACCCTTCTTGAGGCGGGTCTCCGGTTGTTGGGCTAGTCATTTTGTATGCCCTTGTATATGTATTTTTTTTTTAATTTTCATTTTGCTCAATGAGAAGTTCGGTTTCTCAGTAGTTCATTATTAGCCCAGATGCATGAAACATGTGAATAGAAACTGCATATAATACAAGTGTGTATACTCAAGTAGTTTGTTTTGTTTACCTTGCAGGGGGCTGAAGTCTATAACTGATAGAGAAGTTTGTTGCTTCATGATTTCCTGCAAGAACTCCACCAATATCGACACTGTTATCGACTGGCTCGTAAAGCATTCAAAGTTGAAAAACTGAGTTTCAGATTCCAACATCTACTCATCGCAAGAGACATATTTTCCCAGTTGGCAAATATGTGTGAGTTACTGATATCCAACTTCCCTGCCCTGTTCTGTTCTGTGTTTGTTTATACCTTTGCACATACATCTATGTACATTGGTTTAGAATTGTATTTGAAGTTGAAGGGTGATGATGATTCTATTTCTCTTGTTGGGGGAGGGAAAACAGAGGTTGGTTTTGGTTCGTTGATGGATTGTCATCTCAAAATTTTTCCCCTTGTATGATTCTATATATTACTTGGGACATGGACTAGTTTGTTCAAAATCTCTCTTTTTCTCTATGATTTTGATTTATCAATGTTGGCTTCTTTATAAGACATCAATTACATTCTTTAAACTTGAAAGTAATTTATTACCTCACTTTTGCTGTACCAAAAGAAAAAGAAAACAGTCCTTATTGTTGAAAAGGTTTCAATTTAGACTCTCTGTGGTATAACAATTTTCAATTATGCTCTCGTAATTGATAAAATATTTAACTGCCTGATGATAAACTTGTGTACCCTAATATTTAGTGAGTTTTAAATTTTTACCTCACTTAAGAATTTGGAAGATAACTTTAGAAAACTTTATTCTAATTCACCTGAAGTTTTAAAATAGATATTATAGATATTTTTACTCTATGAGATTTGAATACTTATTCCAAATAATTAAGAGAGAATTGAACTCGGGACCTCTCGCACCCTAAGCGAGAATCATACCACTAGATCAAATGCCCGATTTCAATAACTAAAAATGAGTTTTAATAATTGATGAAGCTAAATTATCTGTTGTTGTCGTAGTCTTCTACTTGATAATTTGGAATATCAAACTTTGAATGTCAGTTTAATGGAAACGTTGGTTCATGCTCTGATATTTTGTCTGCTTAGATTAAATCATGACTGCCTATTTTAACATCTGGTTATGAACACACTGATTTTTAGAAAAGTAGAATTTGGAAATCCAAGTGAGAGGTTCCTAAATTGACTCTCATATCCAAAGCAATAATCACTACTTGAAAAAATAGTATTCACCCTTGCTATTTGACATCCTTTGTTTTCCTTTCTTTTTCGAGAAAGGTCTTATTTTTATCAATTTTCTATTTCAAAATTGGCTTATTTTCGGATCATGGTTTGGTTTGTCCATTCCATTTAATTTGTCACACACTGAAATTGTTACTCAAATTATTTATGTTTTGTTGAGATTCAGTAACAAAGGAAATTGACATTCATGAATCGAAACCATGTGCAAATATTAACATACCTTTTAAATCGAATTGGTATTTGCATGCTACTATTTTTATTCTACATAAAAGAAGGACATTTTGATAATCGAACTCGAGACCTCTTGCACCCGAAGCGAGAATCATACCACTAGACCAAATAACATGTCATTTTCTGTTGCTAATCAATATGTTTTCTTCCCTCAAAGTTTGAAATTGATTTATATTCTATTTCAACTTCATAGCTTAGCTTACTATTATGGTTCAGTTTCTTCGACACCTTTTATTTACCACATGATAATTCCTAAGCAGCAGCAAGAATATCCCATGTATGAGACTGTAATAGGTAGCTAATAATCAAACTTTGTGGTTGTATAGAGGTGTGTTTGAGACTGATTTTTACACACTTTTGCCATTGTCAAAAATCATTTCCCTTTCCATTGATGCAAATTAAAAATTGATTTTAAGAAAGCTTAAAATTACTTTAAATTGATTTTTAAGATATCATTTGGATAGTGATTTTAGAAAATCAGTTATATCTCCTTTTTAGAAATCACTCATTTTATCATCACTCCCAAACGCACCATAAATCTAAAAGATATAAAGGTATAAAACAATAATACTTGCTCATGGATTTCATCAGTGTCCACTTTCTTTATCTACCAATCTTTAGTAAATTCAAACTATGTGATTTAACAATTTGCAGTGTTTGATAGATCAAACAAAATGAATATAACAATAATTGTAATGATCCATTTTAAAAACTGAAATACCATTTTACAGAAGGGCATTTGGTCTAGTGGTATGATTCTCGCTTTGGGTGCGAGAGGTCCCGAGTTCGATTCTCGGAATGCCCCATATATGTTTTTGAGTACCATATTACTCTCTTCTGGAATATTTTTTGCATTACAATCAATTTCATTGGCGATCCAATAGAAAACGTAGACAAGATATTGAGAGAATTCAAATTTCATTCTTGAATCTTGATTAGGTTTAAATAGTAAAATGGTTTATTTGAATGTTTTCATTTTGTCATGATCTTACAGTTTACAATGATGATTTTTTGTGTTTGGAGCATGAAATATGGGAACTCTCTGTGCTCGAAGCATTAATCCTAATTCGTCATATAGCTTTTATGGAAAAGAAATATGACATTATGAGAATGGAAGAACCTCTCACACCTGAAGAGGATCATATCACTAGACCAAATGTCCTACCTAGAAACCCTATTATTTTTAGTCGCTAGTCAATATGTTTTTTTCCCTCAAGGTTTGAAATTGATTAGTGTTCTATTTCTGCTTCATAACTTATTATTATGGTCCTATTTTTCGACACCTTTTATTTACCATATGATAATTCTTAAGCAGTAGCAAGAGTATCCAATGTATGAGACGACATTAGGTAGTAGTACTATAGATTCTTAGGTGTCTAAATACTTGATCAGGTTTACTTGTCAAGGATATTTGGTCTAGTGGTACGATTCTTGCTTTGGGTACGAGAATCCCTGAGTTCAATTCTCGAAATGCCCTTACTATATTACCCTCTTCAAGATTTTTTTTTTTTCGCACTTCAATCAATTTCATTTGAGGACCCATAAAAAAAAAGTAGACAAGATATTCAACATTAAATAATAAAAATGAAGCCAATATGAGTTTACCTGGATGGTAAATAACATATGTTATTTCCTTTTAAGATTGAGGTTCAAACACTCAATTGTATATCCTCCATTAAATTCCATTTTTACGAGGTTTAAGAAATTCCATTCCACCAAATATAAAAACGAGAACTTGACAAATCATTCTAATCAAGTATTTAGACGCCCGAGAATCTATAGTACTACTAATTCTCAAATTATTTAAACAGAGGTAGCTATGATGGATGAGGAGATGTAAAAAAAGAGGTGGAAGAAATTTCGACTTAGAACGTAAAGAATTCAACATGCAAGTCGAATATCTTTATTTTTAATAGGAATTATAATTAATATTCAGTTGAACTATGTTTGGATTGATAAATATTTGAAAATTCTATGTGTTGATCGGTTTATATATGTTGTTGATGGTATTAGCAAACCAATTATTTGAAATTACAAATGTAGTCTATGAACTCATAAGGTTATGTCCAATAGACTCCTGAAACTTTGAAAAGTGTTTAATGTGTTCCTAAATTTTTAAAGTTGTGTGTAATAGATTAATGAACTCTAAAGGAACTTTCATTTTTATACCAATATGTCATCGATCTATTATACTTTTTTTTTTAATGAGAGATCTATTTTATTAATTGGTCGTTTAATTTTCAATTTTGATTCAGAAACGCACCAAACACTTTTTGAAGTACAACCTTGAAAGTTTGGAGGAGTATTAATGATAGATTTGAAAGTTTAGAGATTATAATTGAACAAACAAATAAAATAACTTATTAAACATAAATTTGACATTTTAACTCTAGGGCATATCCGACCTGTCTAATCTGTAAACCAAACAACGTTATAAATGACTTCATAGAAAATTACAATTTGCAATTATCTTACTTGATTTTGTAAAAACATAGATGGAAATATAGATAAAATATTGATTTTGATGAATATTTTAGAGAAAAAAATTATTTAAAGGAATTTATAACAAATATTTAAATTAATCGATAAATATTTTACCCATTTTAATTAAGTTAAAATTAATATTACGTTCATATTGGTAATATTTTATTAATATTAAAAAAAAATTTCAATATTATGGAAAAGTTCATTCACCTTTCGTATACCTATCGAATTTAGGGACCAATAAAAACATAGGTAAAAGATAGAAATTTCTGATATGTTGGCAAAAATTTAATATCCCAATGGATTTACTCTCTTTTGTCGTACAATAATTTACTCTTGTACTAGTGGTAGTTGGGGAAATTTATGTTGTATTAATATTTTGGTTTTTGATTTAATTTGGGAGGGATTTAAGTAAATAACATAAGTTAAATAGGTTCATAGTTAATTGAAGATTTTGTATCTAGAAGACAAATATGGAGGAATAAGACAAGCAAACTAGTGAAACCTGTTCCGAAGAAAACCTAAAGTTATTCACTTGGTAACGTCTTAGTTTATTATTTTTCGTTTCAAATTTTATAAAAAATTCTAAATCTTTAACAAACTACTCGTGTTTTTTGTTTCTAATTTTTCAAAAAAATCTCAAAATTCTATAAAAATTTAGGAAACAACAAAAATAAGTTTATTGTTTCATGTTTCCGTTTTTTCAAACATAAATAAAGATTTTGTTTTATAGTTATTGAATCCAGGGACGTGTTGGGACCGCATAATCGTATTTTTATTAAAAAAAAAGAAGAAATGGAAAGAAGAAACAAAGAATGTTAACAAACGGGTCATAAATACTTGAATCAATGTAAAATTAGTCAACTAATATAAATAATAGAATTCACCTAATAGATTAATTTAGGTTATGAATTTACTTAGAAGTATTTTAAAAATATAAAGACCAATAAATAAACCCAACTAAAAATAGTAACTTATAATCTATAATCTAAGTATTCTTAGATTAATCACCACCTTTTAATACCAAGAATTTCATCCTCAAATTTCCTAGGGGTATAATTATTTCTGTTTTTTTTTTTTACCAAAAGATTCATTTCTTTAGAATTGGGGCTGTCCTTGCTCCTTGGTTCGTGAGAGAATATTTTCTAATCATTCATTTGGAAACTTTCTTTGGCTTGCATGAGATAGAACTTTTTTTTTTTTTTAATTATTCATTTGGGATAGTTTGCCACAAGATAAATTAAAACAAATTTCTTATCATTTCTGATTTTTTTTCTCCTTTCATCTCAGATAAATAAATAACCATTCAACCTAAAAATTTAAGTTGATTAATTAGGTAAATTTAATTCATATATTGGATATTTAACCCTTCTTTTTTACCGTAATGCTTTTAGTTTTCTTGATTCATAATAAAAAGAAAGAGCTGAAGAGATAGAGAGAAGTTCTGCCGCAGAGTTTCATCACGTGTCACTGTTGGAGTCGCCGTCGTGTGCCTAGGTGGTGGAGGTTATAGGGTCCCCGAGCCTCCCAGGAGGGAGTCTCAATTCGAGATCGAGAGAGATTTCCTCTAATGATTCCTAAATGTACATATTCACGTTCTGAATCTGAATTACGACTTCGTGGGTAGGCGCCACTTGAAACCGACCCGACCCGACCCGGAATATGATCCAGATTTGTTTCTCGGGTTGGGCCTATTCCTTACGCCCCTAATTAATAATTTCCTAAAAGGTAGAAACCTGGAATATTTGGATCAATCAAAATTTAGTAGTCAAAACAAAAACAAAAAGCAGAACAGAATCAAACTTTTGATTTCTTTTTTCTTTCAAAGGTATTTCTAATTTTCTTCCTGGAGCTTAATCTGCCCCATCATCTCAGCAGCACATGGAATCCCGCCACATTTCTTCAACAATTCCCCTTTCAGTTCGTTCGGATTTGAAAGATTATGGATTGAACCTCCATTTTTCTCAGCTTCTTGCCTGAAAATTTCCCAGAAACTTTCTGGGTCTTTCCGAGCAACCAAACAACGAAGATTTTGGTCTCCCACCATCAAATTTTCTGCTCTCTCAGGCTCCAGCTCGTCGCGATCACAACCCCTACATCCCCTTTCAGAAATTCATCTCTCAATTTCTCTCCAGTTTTCTCGGAACAATTCAAATATGAATACCATATTTATTGTT